AAGTCTCTATATATATATATATAAAAGCCAAGGGCTAATATACTAAAGAGAAAAGATACAGATAGGTTGTATGGGCGGGCCTAAAAATGGGCACTCAACCCACACTATACAACACACCCAAAAAAGTTTAAAAGGTGTACATATAGAATTAAAAAAGCCCAAAACCACCCGGGCGCTGAAAAAATGAGGGTCATCCCAATCTTGTTTTGCATATGTCTCTAATTCTCGGAAGGGATCCAGCTAGCAGATTGGTAAGGTGCGTACCATTACCCGATGTAGCCAAATTATTATCCATAAGACTCCCGAGCTCAAGTAAATCTCCATTCTTCTTCTTCCTCCTGGAAGTGTGAACCTGTCATTCCTCATCCGACTCATCCGAAGAATCAGTTTGACTCAGTTTGACGAGGTGGCAGAGCTTAAGCAGAAGGATTACCAACCGTAGTATGCACTATAAGTTCTAATATCTGTAAAGTATGGGCTGCCTCTACACCGAATACTTTCTGAAGAGGTGGAGCTGCGAGGTTCTCCTGATTATCAATCTGAACATTGTCCTTTGTAGGTAATAGTAATATAGTATTGTTTTCTATGGGGTTTGAAGGTGTCAACATCACATCACTCGCAGTAACAGTAACAATAGTATCATGGGGGGGGGGCATAGGGGCAACAATATCCTCCCAAGGTGGAACTAAAATGTCCAGAGCAGTGGGGTTGGTCTCATCTTTATTCACTTGAACCTTGGTTTTCAAATTAGGATGAAACTTGTGGCATTTATCAAGAATATACCCAAACATCTTACAGTGGGTACAATATGGGGGTCTGTGTTCCATGACGATTTGTTGACAATATCCATTATGGGTTGTGCCCAGCCAGACTTCAATAACATCAGGTAAAGTAATATTCATTTCCACACGTATTCCTGCCACCGAAGGTCTGATTAGGTTGAAAATAGACAGATCTAGCTTCGAAGGATCCCCAAGGATGAACCCAATAGAGAAGAAAACCTGATGGTGAAAAAAATGCAACTTGAGATCAGGTAGACTAAATCATACCGGTATAGTGGGAGTTTCATGATTTGGGTCGAAATCAAAAGACCACTTAAGTAACTTCATTGATTTTCTTGCGTATTAAGAAATTTCTTGGAGAAAATTCGGGTGTAGTCTTCAGTCACTGTTAGTTGAATCAACACCTCTCATCCATGAGTCACAATTTTCACTTGTCTACTAGCTTAATATCATCAACGCTCTTTCTGATAATATCCATAGGTGGTGCCTCCACTGAAATTTTCCAATAAGTGCAAGTTTGAATTTTCTCATTAGGGTAGAAATTTCTGAGTCAGAGAAAAATTGCTACTTTCATTTTTCCTACTTCCATTCTTAATAAAAAGGAAATCATCTGTACAATCGCGACAATCCTTATAGCTTGGAATACCACCGCGGACTCCATCTGAGGGTTACTCACGACGTGGGCAAATGAGATCTTTGTCGGTTCAGCCAAGGACTCCATCAGAGAGGTGCCGACGATCACCTGCAGTGAGAAGCAAACAAAACGACACTGTGTCGGGAAGCACGGTGTTGGGTCGGGAGAAGCGCGAGCCTAGACGATCGAAACAAAGAAACGAAGAAACGTCGAAGTAGAAGGTCGAAACAGAAAGTCAGAACAGAAGGAAAGAAACGTCGGGCGCAGAAGCAGGGATTGCAGCGTTGAAACGAAGCAGTCGCTAGACTCACGCAGACACAGAATCTGCGATCGACTGTGCCGACGCAGACACAAACGCGGACGAGAGCGAGAGTCGACGAAACGAGTTGCGAGCCGAAGGATACCATTTTAGGCCTTCTAGAAGTTATTTAAGAACGAGATTTACCTGGGAAGTGCTTGTAGAATAGCGAGAATGAAATATGGGAGTTTGACGGCTTTTGGGTGGGGATAGGCGTCGATCATCTAGCATTTGTAAGGAGATAAGCAATTAAATTTGCTGTGGGACAATAGATTTGAGTGGTTCGGCTGGACGGATGGCATCAGTCAAATGGAGGTGCGGGGAGGTTTGGGCTGCTAGGAAGTTTCACCACCTGTTCCTAAGCAAGATACATATACACTACTTGCAAAAGAAAGATGATACAACACTCCGAAGAGCATAAAAAAGATTCAAAGCCTCTCAAATAATAATAACAATGCTAAATGTCTTAAAAAAACTTGAAACAACAAGTTATAAATAGTTTCCTTGTAGAAAACCGTAATTAGTAGTGCAAAATAGAAAAGAAATAAAAATGGAAAAAATATGCAAAAATTGGAAGTTGGCGGCTTTGGTGCGCACGAAAGAATTCCTGTCGATTGGGAAAATTGCAAAGGATCCCACTTGATTCTTGCCACGTGCAGAATCTTGCAATAGCGGGGTCTCACAGGTGCGATACCACGGGACACGATATCTGCGGATGCGCTCCCTCACATATATATAATTGGTTTTATTCAGCACCCTGAAACCGAAAAGAGACACTAACCCAAGGAAACCCAATGATTTTTGGTACTGTCGTCTCTCTATATGTCTGTTGGCCCAACTAGACAACTTTTAAATGGGTTCTATCAACGTCCACATCACTGCATACAAGCATGCAATTGAAAATTTTTTAACAGGTAATTTACCAACAATGTGATCAATGCTATCGATATTTCAAATATGATTGTTCTAGAAAAAGAATCTGCTGCAATGATAAGAAATGAAGTGTAGGAAAAATAATTACCATGACCTCTAAATTTAACTCCATAACCAATGATTTATTCACTATACAACAAGGAAAATTTATTCATGTGAAATACTACTTTATTATGAACAATAAAAGAATCCTATAATAGGTGTTTAATAATATAAATATTATGTTTATTTTAGATTTAAAATTTTTGAAAATCAACGTTAAGACAAATCAAATAATAAATTAGTCGTCATCAAGGCGAGCACTCGAACTTTTAATTTTTTTCAACTATTTTACATTAGTAGTTAATGATACTGTACAAGCTTTATTTTGTTTTATATGTTCTTTTTTTATTGGTCACATTGTTATCTTTTAGCTATTTACTATCATACATTTGTGAATGATACACAAACACACACACACACACAACCTGTGTGTGTCTGTATAATTATTGAATTAAATGTGATGAACACAAATTTTATATTTATATTGTATGTGCATGACTGACTATGATGAAATCACCCTTTTATGGTACTATTGAGAGAACTCTAAGATTCCGTGCACGTAAATGAAAAGAGTATTGATATTAAAGTACCTTAATTGATACAATTTTTTGATGGTGCTCTTGTAACATTATATGAATCCTTTGCGTTAGGTAGTCGACAGCAAGCGTAAAATTTGTCGAAAAAATCATGACATGAATCCTTTTGATCATTGTGTAAGTGCTAGGGCGTCCCCTAGAAGCGACGCTCTGTATAGCCTGAATACAGTGAAAAATATGCAAAGGTCGCTACACCGGCGCCCGGGTGTAGTGTTAAATAAGCAAGGGTTCCCTCATTACGAGCAAATGCGGGTAAAGAAGTTAGTCCATGAAACTAATGAAATTAATATTAGGATAAGATCTTGGAATATAAACACTCTCAATGACAAATTAATGGAATTAGTTGATATTATGATACATAGGAAAATTAATATCTTATGTTGGAGAAAAGGCTAAAGAGATTGATAATTTAGGTTTTAAACTTTGATATTCTGGTAAGAGTTGCACTAGAAATGGTGTAGGTGTAATTATAGATAAGAGTTTGAAAGATAATGTTGTAAAAATTAATAGAGTTGGTGATAAAATT